CACCATTTCCCAGTGGCCCTAACCGTTGCGCCTGTCTTGCCTTGATTAAAATCCGAGCGTCAGGGGTATCCTGGGGTCGCTACTATCTCCTCTCCCATCAAAGGGGAATCTGGAATTACAACATCCTTCTCTGCATCGGCCGTTTTCTTGGGTTTGCCGTTCTCGATAGAAAAGATGAAGGTTGCTGTAGCAGGGACCGCCGGGTTAGCTCAACACATCACGGGAGCCATAGCGGAAGAGGGGTACGAAGTTTTTATGCTCTCCAGATTTGTAGTACCCCCTCTTTCTCCACACCAAGATGCCGGGCCTAACTAAAACTTCAAACCAGCAACGACCACAACTAGCAGAAAAAGGGTTTCAGGTGGTCCAGGTCGACTATTTCAATCCAGCTTCTCTACATGCTGCTCTGGTCGGCGTTGACACCGTCATATCGACAGTGTCAGGAGCACCCCAGCTCGCCCTCATAGACTCCTGCCTCACCGCTTGTGTACGTCGATTTGCTCCGGCAGAATTCGAGGGCGTTCCTTATGAACGCCCAATGATTGAGCAGGGAAGGAAAAAGATAGACACCCTCAACCGGCTTCGCGAGGTCAAAGAGAAGTTGCAATCAACCACCTTCTATTGCGGAATATTTTACGAATGGTTTGGTCCAGGCGGATTATCCAGGTCCAGAGTGAGCGCTGGAACCATCCTCGAAACAATGCCTACCGGTAGGGTATTTGTCGGGGACGAAGCGTGTTACATGTTGGATTTCAGAAATGAGAGAGCCACCATCCCCGCCTATACTGAGAAGGGAGATGATGTTTATGCTTGCTTTACTGCTGCAGCAGACGTGGGGAGGTTCGTGGCGAAGTGCTTAAGCATGGAGACGTGGCCGGAGCAGCTTGGGATGCGTGGTGAGAGACTTAAGCTGTTAGATTTTGTCAGTATAGCTGAGGCTGTCAGGGGTAAGAGCAACGTATCCGGTTTTTCAAACGCGGCCCAGTTCAAGCTGACTTCAAGGAGAAGGTCGTGCCTTCGACATCACGATTGTAGGCAGTGAAGAGCTTCACGAGCAAGTCATCGACGCGGAAGAAGCGGAGGACTGGAAGCAAGTCTCGAAACTCGAAGCACTGATTGCCGCACAAAGAGGCGAGCTAGACTTCCTCAAAGCAAACGTGAATGACTGCCTCCCCGAAGTGAAAACCCTGAGCCTCAAACAGTGGTTGAGAAAAGCTTGGGCTCAAGAAGCTTGAAAACAAGGACCGAAGCACATTTATCTATCGTTTTTTTCTGCATTTTAAATCTTCCTTTTCCTGTTGGATTGCCCATGACACAGAAAAGGATCCCAGCAATCGGGTATAACTAGATGAGTCAATAACAGTGACCGCTGCGGGGCGGTGGGGACGTGCCATGTTTTCTTTCTTGCTTCCCTTCCTGCTTTCTTTCATTTCCTTCTTTCATTCCTCGCACAAACAAGTAGCTTTACACTGCCGCATAACCCCAATACAAGCATTCCTCCATCGGCAATAATGCCCGCTTTATAAATCATGCCCAGACTACTATAAAAGCACTTTTTTTTTTTTTTTTTCCTTCTTCCCCACAAGGTTGTGTCCGGCCGGGAGTGACTCATGCATACGATCCCAAGCGTGCGGTACAGTACATGATGCAGTATCGTTCGTATCCCAGAGTATTTGGTTACAGCCTTACCAACAATACATACTCATCGCATTATATAGTAACAGTCCTGTACGTCGCCTGCAACCCGATTCGATCGAATGTACAAAACGACAGGAAGAAGAAGAAGAAATGGCTATGCGTGCACGCCCCGACGCGCATAGGGCTGATACATTATCGGAGGGAGGCGGGGGAGAGGGAGTTATTACTCCGCCAAGAGGTTCACAGAAGTCGCTTGCATAGCGATGATTGAGTGGGGCTTGGATGGATACGGTGCAGACTTGTAATCGCGCGTCGCCCTCCTCACACGTGTAGTAGAGGAGCACGACGCGCAATAAGAGTTGGTCTTTTTTTTCTCAGACCGTTTCCGACTTTATACAGTACTAAAAACATCACTGCAACCGCTTCTTTCCCCCGTGCAATCATGAATTCTCACTCATGTATTTGGGATTCCGGGAAAGCGGTCGGGAATTCGCTGCCCGGCTCCGCCGATTCGACGGGAAGGATCGGTAAGACTGGGAAAAGATATGCCGGCGACGCGAGTATAGTACAGGCAGTAGTGGAGGGGGTGTATCCCGATCGCAGACCGCGTCGGCGGGTAAGAACGGTCCTGTCTCCTCCGCGGGTGCCGGTGCCGCTGTGCCCATTACTGGGCTGTGGTAGGTGGGGAATCCTGTGCACGGCGCTGCGCGATTGGCCATCTCGATAACCGTTTCTGATAGAGTTGACGCCCCGCAGCCTAAATTCGTCCATACGTGAATGGCGAAGATGGATATTCTAGGTATCATAACAATCCCAGTTATCACACCTTCGAGGCGTATCCTGAGCACTATTCTACTATTCTCTGTACACCTCAGTTGCGGCAGCGTCTATTTATTTACATGGGTTGGTCAGGGGTAGACTTGGGCTACTATAGTAGATGGATTGAAGCGGTTAGTAGGACAAGGACGGAGGGGGAAGGGGGAGGAAGAGAGGTTTTTTTATTCATTTAGTCTTACAATTATGATATCTATTTATTTATAACATCAAATTTCAACCCTTCATTTATTTCCGGTATTCTTTCTCTCCTCCCCTCCCCTTTTCCCCCTTCTCCTCTTCTTCCTTCCGTCCATCCATCCACTCCTCGATCATATCTTTCCTCCTCTCCTCAACCAAACCGCATCTCGAAGCACAACCCCCAGATCGACAACCTACTTATGGATATCGCATTAGCAACTCGGTTCGGGCCCAACGCATCAAAGACGGTGCGAGGCGGAATTATTGTTTGCTGGTGTGGCGGCACTTCTAGCATCTTCAATTTCGAAAGAAATGATTATATCCTTGCTTCATCGAACCATTACCCGCCGTAGCTCTTCGTGGAATCAGGAACATTCCCCAACATCTTGGCAGCAGTGAGTGGAAATGATTGTTTGTTGAAATGTATTATGGCCGCCATTCTCGTTTGTCCTCTCGAACCCCCCAACCACAATTCAACATCGCACCAAAGTGGCACCAGTCTCTCCCAATACCCAACTTCTGCCATCACCGATGGCAATCATTCTTACCCGGCTGTGTGCCAGCCGGTCTAGTGCCCCGTCACCCTGTTTTATCTGCGAACCAGGAGCCCGGAATGGGCACTTGCAACAGGAATAAAGGAATTTCGTGTCCTAAAATACCATTAATCGTTATTCCAATGTTATGAAAGAAATTCCGACTTGCGACTTCATGGGGAGCGCCGAGAAATAGCTTGGCGATCGCCAGCAGTGAACCCCAGTGCACAGTCGTACGTAAACCGACTTTGTCCGCGTATGCTGAGATCCCGAAATCTTCCACAGACATGCCCTCTGCTACGCGGGTAACAAGCAAATTGTCGCTATTTCACGAATTGGGCCATTACTAAACCCAAAATCCAATCAGGTTAGCCAGTCCAACAGAGGGAAATAAACGGTGCCTATTGGCGGTGAGCATGAGACGGTAACTCGTCGAAGACTTTGCAAACAGTCAATATGGGAAAAGACGAGACACAAGACAAAGGGAAGGCAGAAGCAGAAATTTGAGACCTTCCCGTTAGTATAAAATGCTTATCACCCACTGCCAGTTCAATCTTCAGGGGTATGATACCATACAGAGGAAATCGATCCACTATCGGAGCCCGGTAGAAGCAAACTGGGGGGCGTTAGAGCCCAACATCCACGGGCTAAAAAAGCCCCGCACCTCGGGTTCCCGGCCAGGCTATTATATCTATCCTATGATTGGGAATCTTACCTTTCTCTTCCGTGAAGCCCTCTCCCCTCCACAAACACCCCCACTCCATCCCTAACCAAACAAGCCCCCGCATAGAGTGTATGACAGAAAATGTATTCAAGGAGGTTTGACAAATACCATACCAAAAATGACAAACCACCACCACCACGTGGCAAAGCGGTCTTCGGAAAAAGCAGGAAATGGATGAGAAGCGTGGGTCAAGCACAAGTGCAATACAGTACTCCCCAGAGCAGGAAGAAATCCCTGACCAGGTTATAGAAATTCAATATATCCTAAACATGGTGGAAAATGTGACAGCAAGAAGGGATGAGATATGGAACTGAGGGGAAATGTGCTCATGGCGTGAGTGAATTAGGAGAGGTGGAGGAGGAGAAATAACAACGAACAGTAAGACCCCAGTGAGTGAGTGAGTGAATGCGTAGACCGAAAGCAAACAAACAGCAGGAGAACCACCCGACCCCACAGTCAGTATATGACGTGCACCCCACCAGTGGATCACGAAAGAGTCCGTCGAAAGCTCTCGCGATGGGTTCACTATATTTCTATCTCGTGTCTACCTACAGTCTACAAACCCATCTGTGCTATCGTACCATCCCTAGAACGATGCTCCCCCCCCCCCCCAACACTATACCACACCGGAAGAGATCCACATAGAGCAGTACCAGCAATGCAATAAAACAAGCTAGTGCATTCTTCCCCGGTTCCTTCTTCCCTCCCTGTGAGCCTTCTCCCCATCTTTGTCCATACACCGTCAATTCCTGCCCGCAAGTCACCAAACCCACCCTATAAGCGGTGCAGTAAGGGAGTGGCCATCACAATGCAACTCGAAGACCAACTCTCTAATTACATATCCTCCCCCACCCGCCACGAGCTTCCCCAGGACAGGCAGGGCAGGGCAGCACCGACGGGTAGTATCATAGGTAGGGTATGTCCCACTATGATACAACAAACATTCTCCCATATTCGAGTGATATTTTGTGAATACTTATTTGAGTGGTCTCTCACCCGATCATCCGATATCGGTACGTTTTGCGAGGGTACAGTACTGGTACCACGCATAGTATAATACTACCCGTGAGGTACTCGAGCACAGCGTTCCACAATAGGCAAATATGATATCATAAAAAATAAAAAAAAAAATAAAAAAAAAACTAAATTCGAAACTCATATATTATACGCGCACTTCTGGAAGCGCCTCCCCCAATCGCCCGCCATCTTTGCGCAAAACATCTAGTAAGCTAAATGCCCCAAGCGTTGCACCACAGAAACCCCTACTAGCGGAACAAGCCAGGATAAATTCTGCTCGCTCGCCATTCCGGCCGACTACCTCTAGTCAGGGATAAGCGCACCACGCACTTTCCCCCTCTCCAACTGCATAAACATACTTGTGCACACCCGCGCCAAAGCGCCCCAGCTGACTTAACCGCTCGAGTATACGAGTACCGTCCTGCCGCACTGCCCTACAAAATCGCCAAACACAAACCCGCCTCACAGAGTCTCACTCGGTTTCGTTTCATGACCCTGAGGAATGTTGTCTGCCACTGGGTGTACCGGTAGTTTGTGGTACCGTAAAACGGGATACCTGTACTCGGGCCACACACCCTAGCCTTGCGAGTTTTGGATATGCTTACGGGATGACCGGGGATCCGGGATTTTGGCAGCACCGGTAGGTGCGAATGCCGGGAACTGAAACGAAACAAATTACTGTAGCACAAGGGTGGATGGATAAGCTACCGTATTATCATACTTGTGCGTTCAGGGTTTATTTAGTTACCAACTCATCCGTTTATCGACTTACAGAGGGGGCGAGTCGATCGATGGATAAGTAGAGTTAGACTACTCCGTGACAGGGACGCTTACAACACCTCCCGGAACATCCATTTTCCTATCACCGATCCAGACACCTTCTTCCGATGCCCCTCCGAATAGTCCGTCTATCACGACCTCCTCCTCCTTCCCGCCCAGCTCATCAGCGAGTTCCTCAACCCTGGGCACGCACCCGAAAACGACACCGCGCCATGCACCACCACCACCACAACCCCGCTCAGCGACAAAAAACTGCACATACTCCCCCACCTTAACAATCCCCTCACCGGACTCGAAATTCTTGGCAAAAACCTCTACCTGAGTTTCCGACTGCGGGTCCAGGGACAGCAAACCGGCCTTGCTCCCCCACCCCCCACCACCGGATAACACACGGTGTATGCGTGCACCCGGGGCCGTGAATAGGTTTTCGTGTGCAACGGAGGAATGCGGGGTTAGTCTTGCGAATATGGAGAGTTTCCTGGAGAGAGATGGAGTAGATGGGGAGGAGATATAGTCCAGAACAGCCTCCTCTAGCTCTCTACTAGCGCCCTGGGGAGTGCCGGTTTCGGATGAGGTTTGCTTGAGGATGTTGCCCATCCCCGCTTCGATCCTTCGGGGAAAGGTAAGTTGTTTCAGCGGGAGGTGAGCATCTACCTCGGTGTCTGCGGGGAGGTGAGTTGGTGGGAGGGCGATATCTACACAATCCTTCTCTTGGTCTTTGGCTGGAGGAACGATGCCGGACCGCCGGCCAACCAGCTTCATCAACTCTCCTAATTCCTCCCAGGCTTCCTTAATGTCCTGCTGGGCGTGGGCGAATTCCTCGACCTCTTTGGGGCACACGCCCTCCGCTGCTTCGATGGTCACTGGAATCTCATTCACTTTTGCAGGGATATGCACGATCGTGGTTCGAGAGCCTGTGTGGAAGAGTGTGTTTGCCAGTGGAAGGGTAAACTTCTTCGACCGTAGGCCGAAGGATAACGACTTTGCGGGAGTGGTTCCTGCGGCAGCAGTGGGCGGAATTGTTATCCGTATTGACTGGGAAGTAATCAGCCAGCTGTATCCCTGAGTTCTACCCGTGGCGCCGCCGTCGGTAGATGGCGGGGCGCCGGGCAGTGAATCAACAGCTGCCGCAAAAACATCACATGCGCCATTATCCGATAGAAACCCAAGATCCTCTTTCGTCAACACCCCGGCGGACTGGGGTGTTGTAAGAAGGATTATCGACTTCGGAGGTGATGGCGGAGTAACCGGCAGCGCCAACCTTGTCTACGGTGCTCATCGCAGGGATGTGTTAGCCGTTGTAATGTATTGTAGATCGTTCCAGATATAAGGCAAAAGTAACACTCGGATGGATCGACGGAGATACAGCAAGCAAGGGGACGATGAATATGTGATAGTCAGAAGCAGATTCGCGTTCACAGCATTCGTCCAACCGGGGGATGATTTCTTTCCTCCCGGAAGTTGCGTCTGAGTGAGCTGGGTAATAACGAAATGTTGTTCATCATTCAAGGGCAGATAAACCAAAAATACAAAAAATAAATAAAAAATAAAAAAATAAATTTAAAAAAAAACTGACCGACCTTGGATTCAACACAGTCCTCAACATCAAATACCCACGGCGATGCTGAGGTCTGTTCCGACGAGGAAACAGTGGTGCTCCCTCACTTCCTTTATCGGCTGAACAACACCAGGCATCACCACCACCACTAAAAAGTGAAACACCCGCTCTCTTCCATCCCAATGACGAGGTAACCGAGGTTGTGATCCTGATCATCATCATCACCTTCACCCACTCACACCGCACCTCCAAAAACGCAAACAAAAACACAAAACGAGAGAAATAAAAACGGGGGAAAAAAAATTTGGAAATTTGGAAATTAAAAGAGGTGGGGAAGGGAGGAGGATACTCCGAAGCTGAAGTTGAGTGCGGCGTGGCGGGAGTGCGAGTGCGGCAGTCTGGGTGCTGGGCAGGAGGTGTTCACTGTGGTCCGCTGATGTAATTCCCTCAAGTTACCCGGACCCACAGCTATGATACTGCAGACCGAAGCGGAAGAAAGCAGTCCCATCCCTCGGGCATGGACGCGGGTGATCGGACGCTCAGGGGTTCCAGACGCTGAAGAGTGACGACCCTCACAGGAAACCCAGGAATGAATTTGGCACAGAAACTGCTCAAACCAGCAAGAAGCTTTGTTAACTCCGAACCCCTGAGTGTCCTATCACTCACGTTCAAACCCGAGGGTTCAGCAGTGAAACATACGAGAAATCCCTGTCCCCTGGGCGGTCTGAGACGGTAAAACTCGCGCGACCAGGCACACAAAGTCTAGATCAGTCAGCCTCTCGCTATTTCAGAATCCGATGATGAATTCGGACTCTCCAATCTCCAAGTGACTCAGCATCTCAGCACCTGTAGGATAAACTTATGATATTAATTAGCAACCTCTAATTTCCAACGAATCACAATACGAGTAAATTAATGCATTAGTACGGTACTCGAATGCTCCCCAAAACAAGATTAGCGCGCCTGGTCTGGAATTTTATTTGTACGAGTACTCGTACAGTACGGTTCTCGTAGACCGCCCAAGGGATCATAAATTTAAGTTAACACCAGAAATGCCAAGCACAAGAGTGCTGACTTGACGCAAACCCCCGAAAAAAACTTCGCGATCCAGAACTCAGAGTGCGACGGAGGATACTCTGCGGGTTAGCCTAACTTGACGGTTCACTAATTTTCTCATGACCATTCAGCAAGCAGCACGGTAATCCAAAGACAAGCGGAAGCCAGCCTGAGACCCAACCTGTCCTAAATCGTCGCAATGTTAAAGGATTGTGGGCAGAAATAGCACTGCAAGGATAGCAACTAGACTACCGGTGTCCACCAAAAATACCAAGTAGAGTACGAGTACAGTACTCAGCTCTTGTTGTCTCGCTCCCCCAATGTCTCGCTGTTGCTCCGGTTACGAGTACTCGTACAGCACACGACCCGATCCGGCCAAGCCACGGAAGGGGGAAGGAAGGGGTGAACGAGTGAGCAAGCGTGAAGGGAAGGGGAGGGATCCAATGCAGGAGTTGAGGATCGTTGTTGAGGCAACCGAGATTACCGGTATTTGTCCCCACCCTGTCAACCCTTGGGCAATTACCGTACCGTATCATACAGTAGGTTCTTCCTGGCGAAAGGGTCCGGTCCATGTTCTCCTGTTTTACGTGCGCTTGTGTGCCTGGAATGATACCTGTACCTGATCGGCCGACGGACTGATTGACAGTTTGGTCAACAATTTACGGTAACCCATCACAAATCCGGGAGACAAAACCGACTCCAGCCCTACAGGTGGCCGTGCATACACTCATGCTACGTGTACTGTACCTTTGATCGCTCGACCAAGTGCGAAGGATCGAGGAAGGATGAAGAAGAGTCCTGGCCATGGCTGCAAGACATGCCAGATAGCTTGCCGGAATGGTACAAGTACTTGTACCGGTACTACAAGTAGTACTCGCGTTTGTGATATGATACTCTACCGTATTGTGCGGGTGCATCAGGAAAGCAAGGCAAAACAAACAAAACCAGGGCTTGGGGTTCCACGGGGGAAGGGCAAATCTTTGGTGTTCCGGGTTTTTCCTCCGCTTGTTTGTTTGGTTGACGGTGGTGCGGTACAATTTTCGAGCTGAGTTGGGTGCGCTGTGTAACGTGTCCATCCGTTCCCCTTCACAACACGATGCTCGTTGTCTGTCGGCGATGATAAGAAGTGGAAATGCGCGGTTTCCAGAATTCATTCCATTCGACACTTTTTTGAGGTGAGACTTCGTGATCCATCCCATCGTATGCGAAAATCTCCAGCAGCAACACTGGTACTGTACAGGTACGGTACGGTGCTCCACCACCACTCACCACCGCCGCGGCACACCAAGACTCGCTAAACAAATCTCCCTCCTATTCACAAACTCAACTCTTTCCCCCCCCCCTTCTCACCTGCCGACCATCTCTACAAAAAAGGCTACCAGTGCAAGTAACGTGATATCCCATGATTCAACATGGTAGCACCGTGCATTCCCCCACACTCAACAACCGACGTTTCACCACCCCGTAAGGATGGATGTTATGCGACGACCACGGTGGACTTCCTCGGCACCGGGTTCTGTGTTGTGCTTGTGCTTGTACTTGTACTTGTATGCGGGAGCATGAAGGAAGATCTTTTTTTAATGTTTTGTTACAGCTGGTACGTACGAGTACTAGTATTGTCCATGTGTTTCGGTGTTGTTGCGGGTTTCGAGGGGAGGTGTAGGCGGGATGGATAGACGGAGGGGAAGCAGGTGCGGGGGTTCAGTCGAGTCTAATCATATTATACTTTGACGGAACAGAGAAGAAAAAGAGTCTCTGAGTTGGCCCACCGTATCGTACTCGAGTACGGTACGAGTACAAGTACCGGTATGATGTTACAGTCTCCAGTGCAAAGGCGCATTCCGTGCTCAAATCCTCCCACTCGATCCACGACTCCAACCAGCCAATCTCCCACTCCCCTGCAGGGATTTCCCATCGCGTGCGTGCGTAATCATATGGTACGAGTTACTGTAGGGTGCGTGCAAGTGTATATTGTACGTGCGCGACGGCAGGGTGGGTGGGTGGTGCTGGTGGTGGCGCAATCTGTTTACAGTATTCAGGTACGGTGGTGATTTAAGTGGTTTGGAGGGTTTGGAAGGACGGGATGGGCTGAAGGGTTACAGTGTTTCCATCTTTTTCCCTCCTTCTTTTCTTTTCTTTCGTTTCGGGGCTGTTGACTGATTGATTAGGGAGCGCGGGACCGGATTGTGAATTGGTTGGAGGTGTTTAGGTGAGGCGTTTTTCCTGTACGAGTACTGTACAGTACTGTACTCGAGCTTCTACTCGTACAAGTACTAGTACTGAGTGCTAGCTCGGTACCTACCAGCTCGAGGAGATAGACACTACAAATCTCTCTTCTTGCGAGGAAAGTACTCGAGTACAAGTACCGTACACCCGTGTACGAGTACTGACCAAGCTTCTCGTCCGCTATTTTCCTGACCCCAAATTTCGCCTTCCTGTTTAGGAAGGTGGAGCGGGGTAAAACTCTACGAAATGCCTCATGATCCCCCTTCCTTGCCAAACTTGATAGCTTCATAGGCTTGAACACTCAAAACTCATCGTGAGGCTCAACAAAATACACCCTCTCTGGTACTGGGCTTTGCTCCTGTTCATCAGACTGTAGTTCACCACCTTCTTCCTCCCTCCATGGTGGCCACCTCAGCTAAGCTGTGTGAGGTTTCGAATGTTTCCCTGCCCTTCTTGGGTTTTTACTTGGTCGGGTTTGCTACTCTACCAATGTCTGGATTACTCGGCAATGCGTGGTTGGTATTGCACTGCCTCAGGTCATGCCCCCGTCCAACCAGCCATAAGCGATCTCTCCTCTGGAGGCTGACATGTCTGGGTTGGTTGCCTTCACTACACGAAACGAACGGTTCATGGTTCTCACCTATATTCCTAGCTGCTCGCCAAGGCTGGACCGGCTGAAAAATTGGGAATATGTTTTATCAAGGTGGTTTTTTTTGTCAGGTTTCCTTTGTTTTTCCTTTCTCAAGAGAATTTGGTGTGGGTTTTCTTGTTGGCTCCTGCCGGTCCTGTTTTGTGCTTTTTTTGTTTTGTGCAGAAGGAGCTTTCATGGGGGCGGATGTGCGGTTGGTCCTATACCAGAGGGACTTGGGCTGGCTTGTTTTCCCCTAGGCCTGTGGAGGAGGTTTTTGACCAGCATGTCTAAGGACTAAATCGGGGGTGTGGGGCGGTTATTGCAAAGGTGCCCTTGTATCTAGGATCCATGCTTTAGCCAGGCTGTGCTCTTATAGTGGAGGTTTGCACCTATAAGCAAATAGATTCTAGGATTTAACAAAAAAAAAAGTGTACGAGTACTGACTGGCTGTTGTACCGAGCTCCCTACCGTATTATGCAGCGGGGCACTTATGCAGTACCGGTACAGTACGGTGTGCAGGTCTTTGCCCTATTGCACCGTGATGATGGGATTGCAGCAGCGTACTGGTCTGGCACATTTGTGCGTGTTTAACTCAACCTCAATTGTGATTGCAGGACTGTTCGAGCGGTTTGAAAGGATTCTACCGCGCTGTGAGCAGGTAAGGAAGCACTGTATTGGTATGTATGAGTGAGATTTCTCATCTTAATTGTCATAAAGTGCAGTACCGGTACCTCGCACTCTACTGTACTCGTACAGGTCCCGGGTCCCCAATTAACTTAATGCATATCCATCGACAGCGTGATTGGTACTTTTATTTATTGTCTGCTGCTCCACGCATATAGAGAGGGTGATACAGTGCCCGGCCTGGGAAAGGTGAGAGCGGTATCATTATCACTTTCCCTTGTGACTGTCGATTCCTACAGTACTACCAGCACCGTTACCGTATGCTTCTCGCTCGTCGCTAGCTGTTAACTGAGATGCCGGGACGCAGATGCTCATCTCTGTCGCCGGGATCGCATACCGGTATCACGGGGCCAAGTTACGGATAGACGAGACCAAGAAAAATGCATTGAAGATGTATTATAAACAACGCTTACTCGAGCACTGTACGGCACTGTACGAGTAGAGTGCTCGTCGTAGTACGGGGGTGTGGGAACCTGTCAACACTTCAACCACCCCTACCGCATCTGTTCGTGTCTTCCTGGCAGGGACGCGGGCACTTATCACTCCAACTTGAGTTAGCCCCCGACAATTCATCCAATCCACGAGAACAAAACAAACACCGAAAATGCGGCTCAATCGTACTCAAGTACTTGTACTAGTACAGTACAGCGATTTTACAAGCAAACCAGGCGATGTTCGCCCAATTTCGGTAGCCCCGAATTGGAAAAGGGGAAATTGGCACCTCTAACTTTTGTGTTATCAGTGGTGCCGTAGAGTGCCGTGGCAATTTCTTTCCTTTTACTTTTTTATTTATTTTTTTACTTTTTATTTTTTATTTTCTTTTCTTTACTTTTTTTCTTTCTTCTCTTTCTATTTTCTACCGTAGTACGGTACTGTACTCGTACTCGAGTAGCTCAGCTCCCGCTTGAGGAAGCGAGATGCCGAAGGGAAGGGGGAAAAGTGACCATTTTTAGGCGCGGGGAGGGGATTGGGTGCAAGAATTCGAGGGCGTCCCCTGCGTTGGTGGCGATGCAGGGGAGGTTATCCTAAAGCGGCGATGGGTGGACTGGTTTTGATTGAGGTTTGACAAAACAGTTACAATACAATAAATACAATGATATTATTGTACCAGCACTGTGGATGATGTTCAGAAGGTTTGGCCGGTGTTTGCCTTGTGGCTGGAGGTCTCGTATCGTGGGGGGGGGTTCCTCTGTCGGCCTCCATGCTCCCGTGGACTCATTGCTTGCGGTGGCTACTCGCATCGGGCTTGCAGTGAACATTGGTCAGTCGGGGACCTTGGTACTTTGTACGAGGTTTCTTATCCCCTTCTTGCCCTTCAGGAAATGATGGTGAGAGTGGAGAAGATATCATAGCTGATTTGATCTCACTTTCCATCATAGTTGTTCTGCGGTTGCACGAACGGGGGGGAGGGCTCGTGCAAGGCCTTTCCGCAGTTGGCGACCAAGAGAGTCTGTCTGCTCCAGTAGAAAGACACCCGCGAGAAAAAAGCTGGGCAGGCACAGCTCTGGCGAGTGGCACACACACATGCTTCAATCGATGCTTGCTGCTTGTATTGTACCGCACACCTTACCCGATTCTGGTTTATGCCCTGGCTGGAAAAAAAAAGGAAAGAAATATCATTTTACTTTTTTTCCCCTTCGATTCATACGCTATTTTATTCGCGGGAGCGTAAAGTACTGCCGGTACGAGTACTCGAACACAGGAGTACTCGTATGGGTACAAGTACTCGAGTACACGAGCACAGTACGGTACGCGAGCACGGTAGAGGTGGGTACCGTAGGTGAGATTCTGATGCGGGATGGGTGACGGTACTGTACCTGCGTATGATATGATACCATAATAAACCGCATCATGGCTCCCCTGTGATACTTGTATTACTTTTTAAGCTTGTCTCCAATTCTCAGGAACGGAAAGAGACTTCTTATTTTCCTTCCCTTTCTTTTTAGCTATTTGTTGTCGCGCACCCGTTCGGTAGATTGTGGTTGTGGTCATAATAATACGGTACCGCTGCCTCAGTTATGACAGTTGAGAATCGGGTCAATCTGTGCTAAGCCGACCGATTGGTAGGAGGAGCACAGTACCTCTAGAGTGAGAACGGGACTGAGGAAGAACAACAATTGAACTGAACTGAACTGCTCCCTCTCTTTCTCTCTCTCTCTCTCGCTTGCTCATTCCACCCCAAACCCCTTTTAACCTTTTGAACGTGCCCACCGCATCTTTTCACCCAGATTCTGCTCCAAGAGAAAGGTTGTTTCGTTCCTGTCGTTTCTCGCTTGGTTCGCACACCGACCTGCCTATTCTCGTTTCCCCATGGCTTGATCCGCCGCCACTCGCATCTCAATTTGGTTATTGCTTCTTACCCAAGTCACTCGCTCGCTCCCTTCGTTTCCCCTTCACTCACTTTTTCGGTCACTCATTTACAGCACATACGCTACGCCGCTCCTTCAATCGCTTCCTCCCCACCCCCTACGGTTACCCCCTCCACCCCCTGCCCCCCTACTCTACCACCCCCCCCCCGATATATTAACGGTGCAGCAGGAGCTGAAGCCGGGGCAGCTGTGGGACCAGTACCGGTATCCGGAGGGGAGGAGAGGAGTTCGATTGCTTCGGCCATTGCGTTTAGAGTTGGGTACCGCAATGGGAACGATTAAAGAAGCGGGGGATTCTGCTGAGGTTAACTTGCACCTTGTCGGTATGAAGAGCGCGGTGGCATGAAAGTCTAACACTCCCTGCAATGGACATCTCGAGGTTTGAAGGGCTCCAACGCCAAGATGTCGATGCGCCACCCCAATTCAGCGGAGAAGCTTGAGTGCGCGGTGCGCATACCGAGATAGAAGTGCCCGGTCCTTCAGTTCCACTTCTCCTATCATAACTTGCCAGGAGTTCCGCATGTCAAGGAACTTGTTGTGTACCGTACAGTACCGGTACCGTACTTGACTGGGCCGTACTAGTACGGTAGTTCGGTAAATCC